TCTCTCTTTCTCTCTCTCCGTCTCTCTTCTCGACCTCTGCTTCTCTGACCAGTGGCCGGTCGCCATCCCTCTCTCTCCTCTCTCTCTCTCTCACTCTCTCTCTCTCTTCCCTATTATAATTTTGTGAACGAAGCTTCTGCTGCTAAGATTTCCCTTGCTTCCTAGATGGTAACCCTTGAGAGCTGTTTAATGTTTGGAAAGGAGAAACATTAGCTGGGAGTTTAGGATGGAGAGATGTGGCAGTGACAGCTGCACTGAACGGGTTTCTTGGTTGGCCAATACGAAGGTTTGTCCTATTACTGATAAGATTGCGATTTTGGCCTCCTCCCGAGGTCTAAGCTTGATTCCCACTGTGATGTTTTTGCTAGCTTTCGATTTTTGCTGCCTTTGTGATTATGTCTAAGAAAGTAATAGGATTCGAAGCCTCTACATCTAAGGAAATTTCCTTCTTCATATTCCTCATGCATGTTTGCGTTGCATCGATCTCAGGCATGGGATTAGTTTGGTACATTGAAAGATCCCTTCATCTTTGGATATACTTGTTTATTGACTCATTCATCCCGTGGGTCATTGTGAGAAGTTCTATAGCTTGAACATCTCGTTCTACCTCGTAGAAGCGTTTGTAAAACAAATGCTCTATCTCTTCCCAAGAATGAACTAAGTTTGGGGGCAAACGTGCATACCACTTAAAGGCAAGCCCAACTAAGGTTTTTGCAAACTGCGGAATAAGCAGTCTGGAGTCTGAAGCTGATTCTTGGCATGCTGACAGGAAATGGGCCACATGCTGCTGAGTCGAACTAGCACCATCGAAAACAGGCAACCTTCCCCATTGATATCCAGTGGGAAAGGGAAATTTGATCAATAAAAGGTGGGTAAGGCTTCTTATAATGAATACTTTCTTGTAACTTTGAAGCTTGTAATCCTTGGATGCTTTTGTTGATAAATCTTTGAATTTCTTCTTGGATAAATGCCGATGGCATAGCATGAGAAGCTACGTTGGGTTGGTCATCAAAGTAGACATGGAGGTTTAGAGGTCTTGGAGCTTGGGCCATAGGAGGAAGTGCGAGTCTCCTTTCTTCTTCTTCATGTTGGGTTTCAAGAGGAGAATTTGCCTCTTGATGTGAGGATGCTCCAACAGGTCTAGCATTTTCAAGTCTTTTGAGCTTATCCAAGATGTTGCTTAAAATTTCCTCAAAGTGAGCCATCAGATTTTCAGGTTCCTCCCCCTCATGCATACTACCATTATATCAGCTTGTTCACCAAAGCTGAGTAGTTCTGCAGTAGGGGTGATCGTAGTTCTCTTTACACCACGATCTGCCAGTCCAAGTGATAAGGTCTCAGCTTGCCTTGATTGAGCTTGGGAATGCCTTGCAGATCGAGTGAGTACAGGCTCTTGAGGACCTTATGGCCGCTCTGCTACTGGACTTGGCACTTCAAGGCCTTGGGGCCATCGCTCAATTCAAATAGGCTTGAGACGGCCTTGGGGCC